TAGTGCTAGTATTAGTTAGCTCTAGTTCTGTTATTTTATTTTGATTAAAATTTGTTATTTGTTGAAAGAACTCTAATGCAAAGAAAGTATTATGTCAAATATCATCTTTGCATAGTAGATATTGTTAGCGGACTAATTTCCTTGAGTAATGTATTATATAGTTTGATCAATTATGAGAAAATATATAATTTAAATCTCGACGTTGGAATAATTTATGATTCGTTATGCTTTTAGAAGTCGTTTTTAATAATAAATGTACCGCATGGAAAGGAGTGTATACGTCATCGGAATACAATAAACTACGTAAAAACGATCGATTTCCCACTATTCGCACCGCGTTTAACCTGAATGCAACGAAACAGATGCGCATTGGAAAAATATACAATTACACAACGCGTTCGACATTTGTTTACATTTATTTTTGATACGTCCATCAGTTTTACCTGTGTATGTGTCAATTCGGACATTTTATTCAATAAAATGCCACTAACAATAAGTTTAATGAAATAATATGATATATAATTATTTATTTAGAGCTATAAAGATATTGGATCATCCAATTTATAATCACAAAACACCACATTAAATAGTTTAATATGAACTTTCCGCAGAAATATTGATTCAATTCATAAAATTGTAATACGAAATTTATAAAACATTATTGTATCAAAATTACCAATCATAATAACAAGACGAATCGATCCAAACTTATACAGGCGAGTTCATTACAAAAACATGAACATTGTGTATAATTAAATATACATTAGATCGAATCGTAATGTCGACGTGAGCCCTAACACTTTTATTACAAAAGGTTTCCAAGTTAAATAACTTGAAGGTTTTATCGCGCAGCGTTTAAAATTGTCGAGACGAGAATAAATAATCCAACAATCTTTTTATAACAGAAAACTAAAAGTTACTTAGTTCTATTCATAATGCAGATGTGCTTTTATGTTTATATTTTATTATACACACATAAAATATAAATAGAGAACTTGCCTCTCTGTACATATTTGGATTTCAAACTATTTTTATTAAATAATTCACCACATTCTATACAAAATTGTGAATGCATGCGAATCAAAAAAACAATACTTTGTTAATATTGGAATATTAAATGAGACCAGTATTCAAATTTCAAATAATACGCTTCCTGGGTAATATCAAATAAATGATAAACGTTGGATTTAAACAACGCGTATTAGTTGAACAGTAATCAGAAAAGGTAGGAATTATGGAATTTAGAATGGAAATATTTATATCTACGCGTGTAGTAAAAATTGCATCATATCAATTTATTTATTCTCGATATACACGTGTAGGTTTTGAATAATTTTGTTTAAATAGTAAACACTAACACAACAGAAAATATTATTATTAAAAAAGAATTTAAATTTTAAAATTGTAATCTACTTTCATATCGAACATATTAATATTAATATATCAACATAACACGTTATTGTTAATCTGGAAAATTATTTGTTGTTTATGAGTGACTTTAAATGAGATATTGAATATTAAAACGGGATTCATTTAAATTTATATAAAATTAATGCGATACAATATATTTATGTAATTATTTATGGGAAACAATTTCATTACGCAAATGGATTAAAATGCTTAAAAAAAGTTTCCTTCTTAAAAGCTTTATCTTAATTGAATGAGGGTCTGAGTTTATTATACGAAATTAAAACGGGCTGAGGGAAAAACCTTGTTGATTTAGGGAAGTTTTAAGGTTTTAATTAGAACTCATTCCAAAAATTTCAAGGCAAGCGCTTTATAATTATTTTTCATCAAACACTTATATTTATATTTATTTTAATATTTATGTTTGCCCAATAATAAAAGTATATAACTTTTTATTTTCAGGTTAGGTTATAATTACTAAAATTACAAGATTTCATCCAAAACAAGGTCAACATTCAGAATCATTTTGAATCGTTTAAAAGTAATTCGAAATAATTTAAAAAACGTAGTTGATTTAAAAAGAAATATGAAATTAGAATAAATATTTAATTAATGTGCATAGCGTGATTCATTTACAAGGACGGTTACATTGTTGCACGTGAACTCAATAAGATTGCTTTTAAGAATGTTTCTCACATGGACTTGACTGGTGACATGTAGCGGTTAATTTCGTTTAAAAGAATAATTCCCGTATTTAATATTGCAATTTTTTTAGTATTTCAAAAAAATAAATAATAATTATAACAATTTTGAGTTAATTACAGCAATCTTCCAGAACATAACTATACATTTTTCAACACAATTTAAGATAGTTAAATCTCACTTCTTCAATTAAGTAGATCTCAAGAACTTTATCTTGCCTTTCAGTTTCTCAGTTTTTTGGGCTCTTTAATTTTACAAAAAAAAGCTCTCTCAGCCCAATTTTTGCGAATATCCTCATTGATTATGTCTTAGACAGCTTAATAACATGTAGATGTGCAATTCCTATTTTTAGATTACTATTAGTGCAAAAAGAATTTAATGTTCTCAACTCTAACAGTTCTTTTCTGGATTTCTTGGTGATCAGAAAATCGAGTAATAATTTTTTTTGTCTCATAACTAAATCATGATTCCGAAGCTTATCTTCAATCTAGGTGTAACTGATAATTTGGCAAGCTCTTATGCGATTATCTCTTGAAATTTGCGAAATATACCTCAAAAGGTTTAAAGAATGTTTCTAATTCGGAAGAAATCTTCAATTAAACCTTGTCCCCAAGATTGATTGTTTGGGTTGTGATAATTGTTATGTAGGTACAATCTTGAAAAAAAGTGTCTCAACATGAAGGGACTGAGTTTTAAAGACCATTATTAGGACTGTAATAAGTTTGACTTGGTGAACCTCACCGCTCTAAGCAAAGAAGTAATTAATCTTCAAAAAATCGTATCTCTTAAATTAATTGAGATATTAATATGATGTAAAATGCAATTTGAAGCAAATTTAAGTGGTATTTAGTGTGTTAAAGATTATTTCGTCATATCTTTACATGTAAAGTTTCGATTTTTTGAAAGCAACTCTGCGTAAACATAATCACAGATGTTAGATTAAAGTAATTGAAAAAAAATCGTATCTCTGAAATTAATTGAGATATCAGTATGATGTAAAAAGCAATTTGAAGCATATTTAAGTTGTACATATTTAGTATGTTGCAGATCATTTCGTCATATCTTTAAATATAGAAGTTACGATTTTAAATATCTTAGAATTTCTTTATATGTAATAATGCGGGTGGAGACATAAAATAATTAGGCAATTCACGCAAGCAAGACTATTGGAGACCAAGTCGACGATTGGTGTCCTTGACTTCATTTTATACCCGAAAGATCAAATCGAGTATATAAATTACTGCAAGTAGTATCACGTAATTAACAGTGTAGAAAGTTTTGGAGTAATCAGGAAGATCTGAAATTTACCCCCTGGTTGTCGCTTTTCCAAGAAGATATGTCTGACTATATATAATGATTTTGGGGAATTATCGCGGTGTAGGTTCCTGATTCAACAGAACTTTAACAAAGTTTTTTATGAAAAAAATTACGTTTTTAAAATAATGAGTTCGCCCTCAAAAAATTTGTTTTGCTATAATTGGAATAGTTAGGAGTCCTTCAAACTAAAAATGAGGAAAGCCGAAATATTGGTTCTAGTGGCAGCGGTTTTACTGAAGTCGACTCATTTAGAGACGGCACCAAACCTGTTGATGTTTGTAAAAAGTGATTATTTTTCGCTCTACATCAGAGAGATGCTCTGTAAGAGGCTTGTCGTTGCCAACCAAGACACTTCACGACACCCCCCACTCACAAAGAGTTTTTTTTGTTTAAAACCCCTTCATAATATGGCTTTTTTTCAGTTTCAATATTAGTCGCTACAAACAAGTAACAAAAACTTGTAATAGAACAACCTCCACATTACTACCTTAATAATTTTTGGGACATGCTATTAAGTTTCAAATCCTTCTTGTGTGGTATTTCGTACCATTAAGTTTTATGTGTTCCTCCTTGAAAACATATATACTCAAATTCGTGGTAGGGGAGTCTACAATAACCCGTCATCACTTAGCATCATATGAGAGTAATAGTACTCAGCGAATCTACGTTAATGAGCAATTAAATAAGACACTAAACAAACCAGTAATGACAACGGTATAGTAAGAAAGATCTTGATTAAAATAAAAGTATACAGCTTATTAATAATTAACTATTTGGATTGTATGTAAGGGAGACTTTATCTTTAGATCCAATTTAAAAATCAAAAAACCCTAACTTCATAAGAGATTAAGTTATGAAATGAAATGTGTTGTCCTTGATGTTTCCTAGACCTCTCCTCCTAGGTATTGATGTAAGCTATCCAAGGGATTATGGCTATGGCCATTGTTATAGCTGTTTTAAGCACTCTCATTAACTAGAAGTTGTGTTTATCCCTAGGGTAACTTTAATCAAGATGTGGTAAAAGTAAAAATGACTAAATTTCGAAACTACTAATTATATTTCTTGCGACTTGTTCTTCAATTGAATTCATCATCTCAATTCTACGCTTATGTTAAAAACCATAGAAATTCATCAGTAAAGTACTACCTACTCATCTCATAAAACAAATATTTACATTCGTTCGAAACGCGTTATCGTAATCTAAAGCAAACAACTCCTCGTTCATGTTAAATGTACTAATGTCTGGTTTTTAATAATTTATTATAATAATTGTTTGTTAATTTAATTTGGAGGTGTAGCAAAAAAAAGATGTGCCAGATAATAAAAAAATATATAAATAAGTAAATTTTCACATTTTTATTTTACTCTATTTTTCTTTTAGTTTTTTCAACTCGAACGTTTCAAGCGAGATTAAAAAATTAATTGCCCATAATTTCGTTAACGATGCAATTACCAGATTAAGACTCCCGATAAATCAGTCGAACCGGTAGCCGATGTAAAAACAACGCCAATGGAAATCGCCTTGGAAAATTTAAAAACGTATCTTTCCGTAGATTTGTTTACTTCGGACTTACCTTATGTCGTTCTCGGCCCGTTAGTTTGTTTCTTATTTCCGATTGGCTCCCTCATCCTCCAACTGTGTCCATGACGCACTGAATTCATTCATTCAAAAACCAAAACATAATTTCACTCGATTTGTTTTTATTTCTGTATTCTTTTATTTTCCAGAAGCACTATTACGGTTTAATTTCTTTCATTCATCTTTTTTTTTTTATTGCGCTTTTTTAATTAAACTTTTCCCTTATTTTATTAATTTTGTTTAATCGACCGGTTGCGAAAATGTTAACACTTTAGTTTCCGCACCGAATGGAAGGGTCAATTTTTCAATTATTTTAGGTCGCGTCGCTCTATTTTTTTCTCCGGTGGCTACACGCGCTTGGTACTCCTCCTATCACTCCGACCGTAGTAGGTTCAGCAGGAGTTAGAGCAGGCGCTGAACCGAGTCGGGCAGCAGGCAATGTTCGACTGTTTTGGGTTCCCTCAGCGTTAGCCGATGTCTACGATCCATTATTTGGAAACCTGCGCGAAAATTTTTTTATGGCTCTCTTCACTTGCGATCGTTGCACGTCCCTCGCATTTATTATTCATATTACAATTTCATATCCTCAATGGAAACAATACAACCTTATCAATTTTTTAGTATTCATATAAATCAAAATTGAGAAAATGTACGCAATTACTTTAATAACTGTTATTATATGGGATCACTTTCAATGTTATTATAAATAAATTCTAAGAATAATTGGTTTAAAATTAGAGACATTAATGTAATGGCGTTAAAAAAAATGAAATTATTTTTAATCTTACCACTTTCATATCAATATTGGTTTTTTATGTTTTTTCAAAGTCACACTTTAAAGGGTAAAGAAACCAAAAGATTTTCTCTATCAAAAAATATCCGAAGGGCAAAATATTATATCCGAAACATTCCTTCGAGATCTTCAACAATCGCTGGCTTGGTATAATATAAAGAATTTTCATGCCTAGGATGAAACAAATTTGTTGAATAAATTCCAGAAAATCGTTAATATCAAAAGAAGAGAACATGATGTTCAGGAAGCCTTGGCCAAAGATGTACAAGCTGCGAGTACTTGCCTCATCTCTTAAAAGCAAAACTGAAAACAACTGATGTTACCGTATTCTTGGTCAATAAAAAGACCCAACTTTATACACACCAATACAATGGTTTAATATATTTGCCTCGGCCGCAAGCGACCTCGATTAAGTTAATGATACAGAAGAATTATGGTAGTAAGTTGCAGCTTAGTTATGATATAGGTTGGGTTGGGTTGGGTTTTGCTATCATTGTGGTGAAGTAGGCCACCGCAGTGAGCTGTTGATATTTGTTCAAAATAATAAATAATATCTGTTATCGTCCACCTCTTCTCTTCTTGTATACCTTGTTCTCGTCCAAATTTTTTACATCGTAATGACATGGAAATTACAAACTCATCAGTATATCCACACGATTATCAATGTCCATCCCATATAATGGTGAGGTAGGTTGAGGACACCAGGATATGTAACTAGAATCATGTCATCTGATATGATTCTAAGAACTACTCAACTGTTAAGATATACTTCATAGCCGATCTTCCTTAACATTAACTTCAATAGCTTTCTCTGGTTCGATCTAAAGCTGAAGGGTTGCGGAAAGTTTTCATAAAAGCCACCATCTCTTAATAAATGTACAGGGTGGTCCAAATTGGGCACTTTTAACGGGAAACTCCTATTTCGATAAGAGATACAGCAAAAATAATATCAGTGTCTGAGGCTCAATTTTTATAAGAAACTTAATGGCGAAATCCGCATATCGATATCTTTTACGATTTCAGAAATACAGCGTGTTTTTCAAAAAAGTGCATTTTCGAAAAGTCGTCATAACTTTTTTCTTATTGATAAATCTTTCTTTCTGTGAAAACATTTCCAAAGCAACTTTTTATGCAGAATTTGATGGAATAAGTTACCTTTCCCTCAAAGCAATATTTTAGCAGTTATTGACATAAAAATGATTTTTTTAAATGAAACACCCTATATATTTTTGCAAATTCGACAAGTGCATAAAACTTCCTTTCCAAAAATGTAGCACACTTGATATTTCGTTCAAGTCTTCTTTACTACATCCAGTAGACATCTTATAGGGTTCTTTGGTACCTAAATAGGGCAATCTGATTAGTTCCTCTCGATGTCTCCTCTTTTTATTAAAACACTTCATAGACTATATAATCGTCGTTAAAGATACCGTCGCCCTTGGGTCTACAACAAGATCAGAGGCACTCCCAGAGGCTGTCCTTAATATGTTGCGTATAGACCACTCTGGGCAGCCTTATTAAGGCCTCATAAAGGCTAAAGTTACAGCGGTTGGATGTGCAGATGATGTGACCCTTTAAAAATAAAGTTACTTTTACACAGATCACATCATCAGCACTCAAATTCATTTAGAGCAGTTGCGATAAACAAAACCTCAACCTGAATCCTAAATAGTTGGTTCTATTCGCAAGGTTGCGAAATATTGGCAAACACAAAATGGTACAAAGAATGATATTTTTTTTCTGGAATGTAAGGAAGAATATGTATGACAGAATAAGAGTTTTAGGGCAATAAAACAGAAATAAGAAATAATTTCTTAATCTAATCCAATTTCCATGCAGATACATGGATTCTTGGATGCTTCTATTTATGGAACGAGAAAAGTAATTTTTAAATATTAATATCGAACATTATTATGTATGCAATAAACAACAATAATAGTAAGCTATGTGTTAAATACAAGATTTCACGCAAACGATGGAATTTTATATTTTTTTATATCTTTTAATAATATCGAAAACATTCCATTACTTAATCTCTATCCTTTATTTTCAATTTTAAGATATTCCAGATTTTCTTGTTTATCTTACAAGTGCCAGCCCACCCACACATATATTTATATCTGACCATGTGGACTAAATGACATAAAAAAAGTGCATCAAAGTCAAGATTTCGTTTCGCCATCACCTCTACAAGAACTCTTGCCAAGAAAATCTCGGTTTCAAGGTCTGTTGGGCTCATCACATGGACATGTCAGAGTGACTAATTTTGTAGCTAATTAACCAGGAGGTCGGCGAGAGAGTAAAGGTGCCGGAGGTCGGTTGGTAACGGGAAATTACAAATCACCGTAATATCCGTCTCTAGCCAGACTTAGTTTAAGGGGGATTACTTGGATTTAATTAAATTTTAAATGCCTTAAGTTGGGACGTTTAATCTCGCGATGCAAATTGGTAAATATTCCGAGGCAAAAACGCAGTTTCGTAAAAGCAAAGGATAACCACATTTTGGTGTTGTGGGGTTAAGTTTCGGATAAAACCTCGGCACTTTTTAATCTATTAAGACTTCCTTGGTCTAATCAAAGTTTTTGAACATTTAAATTAGTACGTTAATTATACGGCGTATTTCAGAATTTTAAACATCTTTAGTGCTGCTGCACCCGAACAGTCTTGTCGTTAGCCCGGAGGGTTAATGCATAAGTTTTCCTCGCTATACGAGAAAGCTTTCCGTCTCTCTGAGTGCACGGCACGTCGCTAACACCGTTACTGGAGGGCAAATAATTATTTATTCTGAATTTCCTACCCGTACTACCTTTCAAGAGGGTTGTGAAAAAATCTGTCCACTTCCATTAAAAACTTTTCCTATTCAATGCTAAATTTACCACAAAAACCTTATAAAGTCCTGAATTCAGACAACTTAACTTAAACGTACGAACTAAATTCTTCCGCAATACTTTTAAGTGTATTTTTGTGTTAAACAAAGTGGTTATTTTCAAAACTAAAATAAAACTCTTTAAAATTTAAAGCGGCATTTTTCTAACTAAACCGAACAAGATAACGTGAAAAATACTCAAGGTAACCTACATAAAGGGGGAGCTTAAGACATTAACGTAATGGCCCTATAATTGAGATAAATTGATTCCATAGAGTAAAACTTACATCTCACACTGTTTAAAAGAAAAGTTGTTCTTTTAGTATTGTTATTTTTCTTTTTTTTTACTTATTTATAAGAGTTAAAGTCATCCAACTAGGACCATCGGTTTTTCCACCAACGATGTCTTTGCCATAATATAAACGGCTCAACGGCATGCGATACAAGAATTAGGCTTTATCTGTAACGAATGGACGATTACCATGACCAATCTGAATAAAACCTTTAATGACCTAGCTAGAACATAACTCAGACGGCTTTGTTTTACAGACCTAGATATTTCTGAGACGCGATTAATTTTTTTTTTTTTTTTGAAAAGGGAACAAGTTCATATTGAAATTTCTACCCGGATGACAGCGGGGTTGATGAATTTTCCGGGTGACGTATTGCGTGTCGTGGCCAGCAGATGCTAATTTTTGTGTTGATAAATATTCATCAAATCGCCGCAGTCCAGCGTAGGGTTTCGGTCCACCATTCAACCCGAGCTCTTATCAGTACCACGCCATCATCATCATAAAGCTTAAAATAGAGTAGTAAGTAATTTTTACTTTGATAATGAAGGTTTTATCGTTTAGATTTCTTATTGAGATAAAATGAAAATGTTGTTTTAATATTCTCAAAACACCTTTTTTATGAAAAGTGCAAAAAATCGGTTAATTTTAAATCTCAACGTTTCAACTTAAAATTGAATCTCTTCTGTACCTTTGACTCACAACAAGGAAGCCGGACGTTTAACCTCTTTCTAAGTCTTTTTCCAATGTAAAAGTGGAAAAATGTAACAACGCTCTCTTTTTCTCTTGTTACTCACCTGTAGCGGTGCGCAACGGCGGAAACGAAGGCGGCGGAACCGGCACCGAAACAGGAGGGCTATGGCATTATAAGGGAGCTTCAAAGTAAATCCCACAAAAGAGGAAAAGGATGAGGGTAGGAGGGCATTGTTTGCCAGCGGGATATGTTTTTAATCTACTTTCCGGTCTGGTGTCGCTTAATTTTTTTACTCTCTTCTGGAATCGTTTTGCTTTTCCCGAGGATATTGTCGCCTAACGACATCCCGTTTATTTCGTTACTTTTGCTACGTTACTACCCTTTATTTATAAACAACGCAACCGTTCCCAGATGTACTTTTCTCACCTTTCTCTTCACTGATTTGAATTTTAATTATCACAACGGCAAAAGAAACTAAGTAATTTTTAAGTTGAAATGATATTACGAATCCTTTTAACATTAAAGGTACCTTAATGGAATGTAATAATATAGGTTCTAATAGAGTTAATGGAATGACTACGTCTCCATTAATCAATCGTCATCAATCATAAGAGAATCGGAGATTATGGGAAACCTGTTAACGGTAAGGTCTAAATTCTCCGTCTACGGTATGTTGCAAATTATGGATTACAATGATCAAACACGCATGCGTAACACCACCGGACCCGTTAGTTTGGATGAGGTTCTTCAGCTAATTTAACCACATTGTCGATAACACGGTCGGAGATAA